ACACACACACACACACACACACACACACACACACACACACACACACACACAGAGTCCGGATGCCCTGAGGCTGGAGTGACAGGGGACTGTGACCCACTTGACACAGAGGCTGGGAACTGAACTCAGGTCCCCTGCAGGAGCGGCATCCATGCTCCACTGCGGAGCCATCTCCCGGCCCCTTCACTTTCCCTTTGATACCTTTTTTTTCTTTTCCTTTTGGACAAGGGCGCCAAGGAGCATAACAACTTATTCCTAAAGACTTGGGTTGTTTTTCAGGTGATGCCACTGTAGGTTTCTAATTTAATTGGGAGTCAGAGAACACCCTGAATGAGACTCAAATTCTTCTAGAGCAGTCTAGGAGCATGTTTTTCCATAAACAATTAGTGATGAAAATAGAACGCATGCTGCAAGAAGACTGGGTAGGTGGAGGAGTCGGGCCTGGTCTGGCCTGGGCAACGGGGCCTCTGCTTTTGTGTAGGCAGGAGGAAGAGATAGCTGTCTGTGTCTGGTTGTAAATGTACTAGGTAACAATTCTTGACACCATCTATTATATATATATAATTTTAAAACCTTTGACTTGTTCATTTTTTGGTTGTTTGTATGAACACTTTTTCTCTTTGTATGAGTATGTTTCCTGCATTGTGAATGTCTGCAATGTCAGAAGTTGTTGGAGACCTTAGAACTGGAGTTACAGATGGTTGTGTGCTGCCATGTGGGTGCTGGAAATCACACCGGGGGCTGCTAGAAGAGCAGTCATTGCTCTCTGACACTGAGACATCTCTCCAGCCTGGGTGTTTGGCCTGCGTGTGTGTGTGTGTGTGTGTGTGTGTGTGTGTGTGTGTGTGTGTGTACTGTGTGTGTGCCTGCATGTATTCATGCATACTATGTGCATGCCTGTATGTATTTGTTTGTACTGTGTGCATGCCTGCATGTATGCATGAGTACCATGTGCATGCCTGTATGTGTGTATATGTACCATGTGCATGCCTGCATGTGTGTATATGTACCGTGTACATGCCTGCATGTGTGTATATGTACCGTGTATGCTTGCATGTGTGTATATGTACCGTGTGCATGCCTGTATGTGTGTATATGTACTATGTGCATGCCTGCATGTGTGTATATGTACTATGTGAATGCCTGCATGTGTGTATATGTACCGTGTGCATGCCTGCATGTGTGTATATATACTGTGTGCATGCCTGCATGTGTGTATATGTACTATGTGAATGCCTGCATGTGTGTATATGTACCGTGTGCATGCCTGCATGTGTGTATATATACACTGTGCATGCCTGCATGTGTGTATGTATACTGTGTGCATGCCTGCATGTATGCATGCCTACCTTGTGTATGCCCACAGAGTTCAGAAGAAAGTTGAGGTCATCAGTTATAGTGATTAGTTTAGGGAACTGAAGGAAGTGACTTCATGAGGTAGTTAGCTCTGGAGACTGTGATTGTCAACCCATGTGATTCCTTCCTCTCTCTCTGTGCTTGGCAGGGTGGTTACTTATTAAGCTCATTTAAGAGAGATGACGGTTTTCCAGGAAGATTTCTACCATTGGGCTCTGGCCCCGTTCATTCTGTTTGCAACTGCTCTCAACTGGAAGGACTGACAGATGTGTAAATGCTGTTCCTACTTATGAAGGGTTTGAGTGACTCCTACACCATGGCCACACTGGCTTTTGTCTCCATTTGTACTTAGTTCAGTGCGCTTTTATTCCACGTGAACCTGAACACTTTAACCGTTACTTTTGGACCCACTACCACGTATACCTGGAGGAAGGACATAATTGGCACAAGAGCAAGAAGTAGAAGGGAACAGGAGAGGGGGAAGGGACATTTACCCTTGAGGGGCAAAGGACGGCCTCTGGAGAGGGAGCAGACAGACGTGGCTCACAGACACGTGACAGTTTATAATGGAAAAAAGGAGAAACCTGTGTTAAAATGAGTTGATTTGTTTGGATTGGCCATGTTAATTAGGGTAGCTAAAAGGGGCCTTTGATTGCCAGACTTCAATACTTTGATAGCTGGATCTTGGTGGTCAGCCCCAGAGGTAAGAAGTAGGCAAATAAAGGAATAGACCTTGGTGACTGGCTTCAGGAAAATTATCTAACAGTTTAGCAAGGCGGAGGGAATGGGGGAAGGGCCAGGCCTGCCAGAGCCATGCTTGCCCAGCGCAGGCCTGTAGCTGGAGCCCTCCACCTGGATCCCTCTTAGCACATGAACACTCATATGTTTTTAATAGAAGCTTAATCTCCTATCTATGAGAGTCATAATTTAGCCTTTTCTGAAACTTCCATTTTAGTGTTGTGTACCTTAT